ACCCTGGGCAGTATCTAAATATTCAATTTCATGGAGCCAGAAGTCTTAGAAATTTTCCCTGATGATCCCCACCTTCACATCCCACTGAGCAGATTCAAGTATCATCTGGCATCATGCAAGAGAGAAAAACCCCAAGAGGCTGGGTGCTGGTGGCTCACACCTGTAATTCCAACTACTCAGGAGGCTGAGATCTAAGGATCCCGGTTCAAAGCCAGCCTGGGCAACAAAGTCCATGAGACTTTTTTTTTTTTTTTTTTTAGGGTCAGGTCATGGGGCCTGAACTCTGGGCCTGGGTGCTGTCCCTCAGCTCTTCAGCTCAAGGCTAGCGCTCTACCACTTGAGCCACAGTGCCACTTCCAGCTTTTTTTCTTTTTGCTTATGTGGTGCTGAGGAATCAAACCCAGGGCCCTCATGCATGCAAGGCAAGCGCTCTACCACTGAGCCACCTTCCCAGCCCCCATGAGACTCTTATCTTCAATTAACCACCAGAAAACTGGAAAGTGCTGCTGTGACTCAAGTGGTAAAGCATTCGCCTTGAGCTGAAGAGCTCAGGGACAGCACCCAGGCCCAGAGGAAGAAAGAAGACACCTCGAACCCTCTCAAAGTAGGCATTCTGCTGGGCAGGGGTGGCTCACTCCTGTAATCCTAGCTACTCAAGAGGCTGAAATTGGAGGATTTTGGTTCAAAGCCAGCCAGGGCAGGAAAGTCTGTAAGACACTTATCTCCAACAAGCCACTAGAAAACTGGAAGTGGTGCTGTGGCTCAAGTGGTAGAGTGCTCGCCTTGAGCTGAAGAGCAAGCCCGGAGTTCAAGCCCCACGACCAACATCAACAACAAAAAAGTAGGCATTCCAACTTTGGAACAGAAAAAAAGACCCCTTTCAGGTCTCTTCCTGGCTTCCCAACCCTGATATCTGGAATGTCAATGGCCTCAATTGCCACTCTGTATTTGTCCTTAAAATTTTCACCCCCCAAAAGCTTGCTGGTGGAAATGACACAAAAGAGTCAAAGAAAGGGGAGAAACACTAGAAGACCCTCAGACCAGGAGAGTAAACTACTAGGAGGAAGAACACACAGTTCAGATGCATGGACAGATTCAGTTCTGTAGAAAAGAGGCAATGTAAAGTAAGAGCTGGGATGTTGGCTTTCAAATTACATCTCAAAAGGAAAGGAAAAGTTGGGGCTGTCACACAGGGGAGAATTTAGTGGAGGTTTAGGGGAGAGGTTTGACCATCTCTGTATGGGCTCTGTATGTGCATCTCATGCACCTGGCTTTTGATTGGGCAACACACTCGTGGAGATCTCCAAGCTGCAAACACTAGAGGCAGAAAATGAAGTCAGCCTGAGGTTACTCAATGCAGCATTATCTGCAATTGCAAAAAGTCAGAACAGGACCAAAATCCAAAATAGCTATATTTGGTAGGCCTGACAAAGTGGACTAAGATGCAACCTTGCAAGGAAAGGTGGCCATGAACCAAAGTAAGGAAGCTCCTTCCATGGTGTGGAAAGGCTGAATGTATGTTTAACTCAGAGGTCAACAATCTTGTTTGGTGAAGGGCTAGATAGTAAACACTTGAGGCTTTGTTCCACGTTGTCTCTGGCTATCTTTACCATGAAAGCAGGTATTTAAACAAGCAGACACGTGAGCCAATAAAACTATCTACATAAACAGGTGAGATGATTCTGACTGGTGGGACATCATGTGGCAGCTCCCAAGTTTAACTGACAAAAGCCAAACTCAGAGCAGTCTACAGGGCATGCCAACATTTCTCAGGACTGACCAGTGAAGACTGGCAAAACTGTGACACACGACCCATAAAATAAAGCAAAAAGGGTGGTGGCATGGCTCAAATAGTAGAGCCCCTAACTCACAAGCATGAGGCCTTGAGCTCAAACTTTGTGTGAAGAAGCTGGGCACAGGTGGCTCATGCCTGTTATCCTAGCTACTCAGGAGTCTGAGATTTGAGGATCGTGGTTCAAAGCCAGCCCGGGCAGGAAAGTCTGTAAGATTCTTATCTCCAATTAACCACCAGAAAACTGGAAGTGGCACTCAGGCCCAGAGTTCAAGCCCCATGGCAGGGGAAAAAAATACAAAAAACCAAAAACCAACTTTATGTGAAGAGAAGCAGAGTATACACATCTGTAAATTGTAGGCCAGCCAGGTTGTGGCTGACTTGCATTCTAGAACAGAAAAAGATGTGTGGAAAATGGTGAAATCCAAATAGTCTGGAGTTTAGTGAGCAGTTTTGCACCAATGCTATGTCCTAGTTTTAAGTGTATCATTTTGTAATGTTAGGGGAAACTGGGAAAAGGAAAAGAATGTGTATGTGTGTGTACATGTATGTATGTACACATATATATGAACTTTTTCTTTTTTTTGGGTCCGGTCGTGGGGCCTGAACTCTCAAGGCTAGAGCTCTACCACTTGAGCCACAGCGCCACTTCCGGCTTTTTTCTTTTTACTTATGTGGTGCTGAGGAATCGAACCCAGGGCCTCAAGCATGCAAGGCAAGCGCTCTACCACTGAGCCACCTTCCCAGCCCCTATATGAACTTTTTCTGTATACCTAATATGATTTCAAAATGAAAAGTTTAAACATAAAGTAAAAAAGCATCAGTGGTTTAAAATACCAATTGATTATTTCTCATGACTGGGAACAACTGGACAATTTGTCTCATCTGAGCCACATTATGACAGGCTGGTTGGTTTAGGATAGTCACTTCCATATCTGGAGTGTCACTAAGAGCTGAAGGAATGCTTGCCTCTTTTAGTCTTCCCCTCCAGTCTCATTGGACAAAGAAAGTCATGTGATTGCCAGGCACTGGTGGCTCATACCTGTAATCCTAGCCACACTGGAGGCTGAGGTCTGAGGATCATAATTCAAAGCCAGCCCAGGCAGGAAAGTCCGTGAGACTCTCTAATAACCCACCAGAAAACTGGAAGGGGTGCTTAGCTTAAGAGATAGAGTGCTTCCCTTGAGCTAAAGAGGGCAGGGACAGTGCCTAGGCCCAGAGTTCAAGCACCACGACGGACAAAAAAAAAAAAAAAGTCATGTGACCAACCTTAGGTAACAAGGAAAAGGGATTCCTTGGGGCCATTACTGGAATATTCCACAACAGCCTCTGGTTGCTGCTTAACTTCACCTCAGGACATTAGATACCAAATGCCAGACTCTGGCTCTAGTCACAACAAACACTTGCCCTCCTCCAACTAAACCCCTCCTCTCAATTCTGAGCCCCTACTTGCCCTTGGCATTCTCTGGCTGACCTCTCCAGTTCATATTCATCACACCAGCCTAGGAAGCACCAACCCTGATCTCCCAAGGCCTGTAAGGGCTCCACTGGGGCTAAGGTGCCCTAAATAGGGCCAAACAGCTGGGTCTTGGACATCACCAAATGGCCAGTAGTACCCATGCTAGGTTGGTGCTCATTCCTTACACCATGATGGGGGAGGGGGAGGCTGTGCCAAACCTCACACAAGCCTAACCCTCTCTTCCTCCTCAAAGAAGCTCACCTGGCCTCCAAGTACGCCCCTCACCTCACTCACTTTCACCTCACCTCACTTCACTTTCCTGCTAAGCTGGTATTACCATGACATAAACCATCCTTCCAACACCTCCCTGGGCACAGTGGGTGTACTCCTGTAACCCCAGCCATGCCTTAGGTAGAAATGGGAGAACTGACAATTTGAAACCAGTTAGAACAAAATTATCATCTTTAAGACTTTCTCAAAAACATTGAAGGTGTGGGGATGTGGCTCAAGTGGTAGAGTGCTTACCTAGCATGTGCAAGAACCTGGGTTCAATTCCTCGTTGCCTTTAGTGAGGAAAAGGCCTAGGGTTGGTCTCTAAGAGAACGAGACCAGAGAGAAAGCACTAGGTGAAGGGCCTTGGTAGGGTCTCCTAGATGCGTTCCAGGCTCAGCAGTGGAGTCTGTCGCCTTAAGCTTTAGCATAAAGGAAGCACAACTGGTGTGGCTGATGGGACTTCTAGCTGGGCCTACTACCCTAGGCAAGCCTAGATGAGGCCTCATCTCTTCAGTCAAGTACCCATTCCTGTCCCAGATGAGAGGAACTAGCGCATCCATTGAGCAGAGGAACTCAAGCTAGATCTAGGAATGGGTCAACCTGGCTCTACCCACACCAGAAATGGCCTCTTTCTGTACTGCTGAGAACATCACTTCCTGCTTAGCCTCTGGCTTAAACCAGTGACTCCACCACCAGCCATGGGCTACAACTTGCCCAATGGGCCTGGCTGAGGCAAGATACAGTACATGCAACTGCCAGAGGGCCACTAGCGCAACCCAGCCTACTGCTCAGCCTTGGCCACTGTGGCTAGCAGCTCCTGCCTTTTTCTTGTTACTGGTCTGACCTAGGGGCTGGCTCAGCTTAATCAAGTAGTTTATTGGAGGCCAGGTGAGTGAGAACCAAGAAAGGTACTAATGTCCCAAGCAAAGCCCAAATGCACTACTCTACTGAACTGGATCTCTACACACACCATGGCAGAGCTGTGGGATCTTTGCAGAGATGCCTACCAAGTGTAGAGTCAAGGAAACTGCTCCCTTATACTCTGGGTCTCTCTGGAGAAAAGGGTACAGAGTCTCCGAAATGCCTGAGGGCACACATGACCACATCCCAGGAGACATTCACCAGGAAACCTGGAATGGGGCCTAGAAGAAAAGTAGAGTCCAAACGCCAGGTACTGGTGGCTCACATCTGTAATCCAAGCTACTGAGGAAGCTGAGATCTGAGGATTGTGGTTCAAAGCCAGAGAGGAAAGTCAGTGAGACTTTTATCTCAAGACAATATACTATTCAGAAAAAGCTGAAAGTTGCACTGTGGCTCAAGTGGTAGAATGCTAGCCTTCAGCACAAAGAGGCTCAGGGACAGAGCCCAGACTGAGTTCAAACCTCAGGACTGACACACACACACACACAAAAAAAGGAAAAAAACAAAAGGTAGAGTCTGGAGCTGCATACACACACACAAAAAAAGCAACTTTATTCTTTCAAGAGAATGAACACAACAGGGTTTGAGGGAAGATGTATCCTGGCCACGTCCCCTGTCTTAAGCAGGGTCTGTCTTGAGGCTAGGCTTGATCCAAACTTGGGAGATGTTAACAAGGCTCCTATGGCTAGGGGAGGGGGCAGGCAAGCCCAGGAGTGGGACTGGGTTGTTAGCACCAGAGCTGCCTGTAACTAGAATTGGTGAAAGGTCAGTGTGTGGCATTTCCGCCACCACCTGAGCAGTCTGAGGAGGGGCTGGCAACAGAACACTCCTACAAGGGGTCACCTGAGATTCTCAGCTCAGATCCTTTTCCGCTCCCACCCCAGCCCCTGTAAACATGAGACATGGGCTCTTCCCCTCCGAGCCCCTCAGGACAAGATGAGGGTCCGAGATGTGTGACTGGGCTTCAGGCGGCCCAGGAGCTGCCGGGCCTTCTCCTGCATGAAGAGCTGGTCCTTGGTCCCTCCGCAGGCCACCATCTTCCAGGCACTGGTCATCTGGGGGGAGGCAAGAAGGTGACCATAAGAGGGACTGTATGCTCCCAATAAACCCCGGTGGGAGAGAAGAGTAGGGGCCATTTCTCTGATATACCCCAGCTGGAAGCCATCTGTGTTCCCTTCTTGAACCTCAACTGTAAAACAGGAGGCTGGGCCAGGAGATGTACTGTGCCCCAAGGTGGCACCTGTGAGCATGCTGAGATGGGAATGGCCTAGGCCAGCCCTTGCCCTCACCCTTGAGAAAGCACCAAAGCAAACATGCACATAGACACACAAACCAAAAACAATGATTTAGTAACAACTGAGACCAAGCCACAGAAAGGGAACCAGGGTTGGGGCATCTCTCCAGAGTGAGGTCAGGGAAGGCTTCCCTAGTGGCTTTTGAACTGAGATCATAAGAAAGTTAATCACACAAACACAGTCGCAAGAAGGCAACAGAAAAGCCTGTGCCAAGGCCTTGGGGTGAAATGGACAACAAAGCAGAACTCTAAGAAGTACTCACAGGGGCAGGGATTGGCAAGTGGTTCCGGTTCTTCTGGACTGGTGTCACCTCAGGCTTGGCCTGAAGGAAGCCCTGATTCAGCAGGCTGTTGTCCTCTTTGATACCTGGCAGAGTAAGGCTGGAAGAGCTAGATGGGACATTTGCTGGCTAAAATCAAAATCACAATCAAGTCAGTCAACATTTTAAGAGGGAGAGGAAAGGAGAGAGGGAAAAGGAAAGAAGAGGGAAGTACAGAAGGGAGGTAGGGAGGGAACAACAAAACACTTCTCAGTACTACCTCTTGGCTACTGAAGTTTGGGCAGAATGCTAAAGGATTTTAAACAAGATCACTTTATTTCTTAATTAAGTAAATATTTTTCAAGAGTTGGAGCCCCAGCACCTCCTAGCACACACTTAGCAGTGTCCACTCCTTTCACATGTAGTCCAGAGTCAGGGTGCTCCTTAGCTCAGTCCATCCTAGAAGCATCCACATACATGAAAAGGGATGTAGTATGGACCCAAAGTCCTGAGTCACAGCTCACACCTGTCCAGCCTCCATTGCTGACACTGGTGACTTGCCTTCTCCCCTTTTGGGGATACTGGAGATTAAATTTAGGGACTCACAGTTGCTAGGGACCAACTCTGCCACTCAAGCCATACTGAGTCCTTTTGTTTTTGCCCAGAGCGAGCCTTAGATCAAGACCCTCCTTCTCTCTGCTTCCTGAGTAGCTGGAATTACAAGCCTATACCATCATATGCTCAGTGACCTTTTATAGCCAACAAACTTGGATCTAAGATTCTAGGCAGCAAGTGGCGATGTCAGATTCAAATCCAGTTTAGGGTCCTCTTCACCACTTTTTTGCTTTCTGATCATTACTTCACATGTTTACCTCAGTGACAAAGTGTATGTATAACCATGTATGACACCCTAGATTCCATTTTCAATACTCAAAAAAAAAAAAAAAACACACTCAAAAAAAAAAAAAAAAAGGAGGGGGAGCAAGTCGAGGTCACTAGACACAGAGGTTTCTATCCAAGGAGCCTGAGGACACAGGTCTTACTTTCAAAATTTGATCATGCAATCCACACCCCTGTTCATGACCCCACCATTCCTCACTTCTCCCTGCTGAGCAGCACCAGGACAGCCATGCTCAGCACCTAGAAGCCCCACAGCTCGGAATTTGGTACCCTTACTCTGTGAAGGCAGTGCCCTTCTGCCCACACTGCAAACACTTGTGGATCTGATAGTACCCAACCACCAAGCAATGTCTGGAGGCTCATCATCTGGGTCTCTAAACCATGGTGTTAGAGCAATACAACTGCCGAAAGAAATACAGCAGAACTGAGGAATGAAACTTGGGGTAGGGACCCAGACTTTCTGAAGACCAGCTGGAGAACCAGAATCCTCTCTACAACTGGATAGCTCAGGGAGCCATGCGCCCCAGGGAAGAAGATGGCTCAGCAGTCCTGGGGCAGGGTGGTCACAGTTGGCCCCTTACCATGGACAGTGTCTTGGGCAGTGTGGACATCAGCTTCCCATCTTCATCCATAATGTCAAGAGCTAGAGACTTCCGGACTTTCTTGATGGGGCTCCGCCGTACCTGGGAGTTGAGGAGGAAGGAGGCTGTTTAGAGGGCACTGGGGATTCCTGTGGTCAGTGTCCGATGATCATGCTTGCAGATGATCTCAGAACCAGGCCCTGCAGCAGTGGAAACTTCACGGCCTAGCTCTAGACTGTTCTTGGGTCAGGGGGACCCAAGGTACTTCAGCTCCCTTAACCTCTGCTATTGACAGACTCCTGCTCTGTCCAACTGCAGCAGCAAGCAGGACCCAACACAAATGTCCACTCACCATCAAAACCGCTCTTCACCCCTGAAAAGCCTCTATCACAAACATACCCCTTGAGATGCCTGCAGATAATCATCCTAGTGACATCTGTAACACTCAGGGAGCCAATGAGGAGCCCACCCAGACTGGGAGAGATAAAGCAAACTCTGAAGTCTGGCATCTGTGCCAGTCCCTTCCTGCCTCTCTAATCCCAATGTCCTTATCAACTTTACCTCAGGTGAATGAGTTTTCCCACCTAAGTCCATTCCCACAGTCTAAGCATCCAGCCTGCACCCACTCACATGGCTAGCTCTTCCTCCATGTGACTCAGATGGTCAAAGATGTCTATCATATATGTCTGCCTCTACCTGCTTAACTCTAGGAGGGACTGTCTGGGTCCTAATCATGGTTGCACTGGCTATACCCAGCCTAGGAGCCACTCTAAAGGCCTAATCACAATGCTGGATACCTAAGTGAACTATCCAAGGGGGAAGAAGAGAGGTCTACGTAAGACACCAGGGCCTTACCGTCAGTTTTGTCAATAAGGCACCTCACTTTTATCTCCTTTCCCCAGCCATGCCTCTCCCCATGGTTCCAATGTCTCCCCTCTGAATTGACCTGACTAGCAATAGGGGCTCCCCAGCTCTGCAGTCTTACCCCGGGCTTCTTCTTCTGCTTCTCAGGTCTCACAACATTGTCTTCCAGGATGAGTTCCATGCCGGCCTCAGAGCGCAGCACCTCCTTCAAGTCCTCCTCCAGGTGTGGGGTCTGGGGCTATGGGCAGTGCACGTGAAGCTGGGTAGGTGTAGGACTCAGGGCAGACTAGTCATTGTTGGGCAATACTGGGCAAGCCAGGGGGAAGGCATGTGCCAGTTGCTGACCTCTAGTGCATCATTCACAAAATTAACTGTCCAGCTCTGGACAAGCAGACTTGATCACAAGGATCTGCATGGTCAGCAGACCCCTACACACAGTAACCCCACACAGCTCTATGCAGTAACTGTTGGTTTTGCAGAGTAGAAATTCAGGCTCAGAAACCAAGAGCCTACCCAAGGCTACAGCTGTCCTGGCAATCTAAATTCTCAAGCCCTCTGTGCCCTGAAATTCCATCCATGTGTGGGAGTGGGGTGAGAGAGGGGCTATGGCAAAAGAAATACTTGAGCCCAGTAGTTTAAGATTCTATCTCAAAAAAGGGTAGCTGAAATCCAAGCACTTGGGACGCTGAGGCCAAGGGATCCTAAGTTCAAGGCCAGCTTGGGCTACATAGCGAGTTCAAGGCCATGAGACTTCATAGGAAGTTTCAAACAATAAATAAATAAAAACAAAAAACTTGGAGCTGCTGAAAGCTCAGGCTCCCTCAGTTCCACCTAACAGGGACACTCAGGGGTTCACTTGCCCTGACGAGATCTGGGAATTCCAAGTTACCTCTGTAGCCACAGAAAGCGGAGAGCAGGGGAGGTAGGAGGCTCCTGAGTGAAATATTTAGGGCAAAGTGACATCTCAAGTGTCATCCAAAAAGGCTGTGTAACTTTACATTCAGTTGCCCAAGTTTGGATAGCATGAAGGCCTCCATTCTGACAAGAAAGAGCCGCCTGCACTAACTAGTTTTTGGTCAACTAGAGCAGTCCCTAAAACCCTACTGAACTGAGTCTACTCCTGTGGTACCAGAAACCCAACCCACCCCTCTACTGCACACAGCAGAGATAGGAGGCACCACGGAGGCTTGTGCAGTCAACTGAAACTCACTCTGCAGCCCTGCTGTTCTCCTCTTCCACCTACACCCCAGTTCTGCCTGTGTCAGAGACAACAGGCAAGCACAGTCATCCCATCATCTAGGAGGAAGTGTGCTGCCAGAGCAAGATGCCCCAGGGTGTCCTCGCTGGGCACTGCAGACCCCAAGTGGCTTCCCTGCGTTCTCTAAGAGTTAGGAGTTGGTCAGGACTGAGACAGCCAGCAGCCCTTTCCCAGCACCCTCCATTTCCCTCTCATATGAGTATTGTGTCATGTGTTTAATGTCTGCTTCCACCATCCTACATGCTGCTGCCCCAGAATATCACTGTTTCCACCACCAGCCAGTGCCTGCCTGTCACACTTAAATGTCAATTAGGTGGTAGCAAGTACCAGTCTTGAGATGCCCACTTATTAAAATGAGATGTCTGCATGTTCTCCTGAGAGGGAAGTCCAGAGGAAAGGCTCTGAAAAACACCAACGTGGGATGAGCCTGCTACAGTGACCTACATAGTGACTGAGTCACATACCAGAGGTTTCAGTGGTCCGTACTTCTCCAGGGCATTCTTGAACGGGGTTGGCGTGTGGGGAGTGTTGTCCATGGAGTACTTCTGATCTGGGGTTACAAACCTGCCAGGCACCGAAGGAAGTGGCTCACCAACAGGAGAGGGCAGACTCCCCGCTTTCCTTTCCCCCAACTCCAGGCCCAGTGTTAGAAAGCATTACACATGAGAACTCTTCCCATTGCACTAATGTAACAGCCCACCACTCTGCCTTGTTCCCAGATACAGATCATGGGCACAGAAAGGGCCATTCTCAGTAACAGAAAGGACAAGAAAGAGTTTAAGAGGAGACCACCCGCCCATGGTGAAAGAGAATGCTACTCAGTCATGGTCAGACTCAATAAGACATCTTCCAGAAGCAAGGACATGTGGCTGAGCTTCAGAACCAGTATGGGGCAGGGGAGATCCAGGAAGATCTCCCAAGTAAGTCTCCTCAAATCACCGCAATATAGGCAGAAAGGCAGAAGGAATGTTTAGCGATGTGAAACATGGAAGCAGCCTGGCTCAAAAGCAGAACCAGAGCCTCTTCTAAAGCAGATATAAACCTTCACCAGCATTTAGCCTGCACTGGAAAAGCTGACTCAGAAGCAGGAAGAGGCAGGAACAGTGCACCAGAGCATTAGGACTTAGGGTTATGGCAAACCCTAGCTCTACTAACCAAGGTCAGATCCCTAAGCATGACCACTGTAAGGGTCTAATTGGGCATGGTCACCTAGAAATGCTTCTCAGCTGACTTTCAAGGCATCACTAGAACAGTGAAGGGACAAAGCACTAGAAAGGGTCACTGGGAGTGGAGACAAAGTCCCAGATACCTAGCAGTCCAGATATCTCCATGGGGAGATAAAAAAAATTAGAACAAATGCAGACTATTTTACTTCTTCAGGATCTAGTAGTAATCCACACAGATTATAATCTCCCAATCCTTGTTATCTCCCAGAGGGATCCGCCCTCCCCATGGGAAGGAACAGCAAAGAAAAACACAAGTAAATGTAAACACCTCAGTTCGGACTACACACAGTTCAAAGGGAGAACCTCCATTAAGCACCTGGGGGTAGGGGATGGGGACAAGAAGAAACTCCAGAGCCTTTTATCTATAGCATCACAAAATCAGGAAGAGGCTGGGTGTGGCTCAATGGTACAACACTTGCCTAGTGTGTATGAGGTCCAAGGCTCCGTATCCTGCACTGAAAACAAACCTCAGGAACATGACATGAAAAGGAACACGGAAGATTTCTTGGAAAAGGAAAATACAATCCTGGAAGACAGAGGGCTAGAGAGGCATTGGCAGAAAGAAAAAAAAAAAAAAAACCTTGCAGAGGTCAAAGAAAGGACTTAAAATGGGTAAACTGGAATTTGAAGATGGAGAAAGGAGTTAAAAAGTTAATAGAAATACCATACCTGCAATAGCTTGACAAGTGTGAAAAAATAACTAAAAGGGAAAAAAATCTATAAGGATCCAAACAGACAAAAAACAAAAATGAAAAAAAAAACCCTCTTGTTAAGAAAGCAGCTGGGGGCTGGGAAGGTGGTTCAGTGGTAGAGCGCTTGCCTTGCATGCTCAAGGCCCTGGGTTCGATTCCTCAGCACCACATAAACAAAAAGAAAAAAGCCGGAAGTGGTGCTGTGGCTCAAGTGGTAGAGCGCTAGCCCTGAGCTGAAGAGCTGGAGCTGAAGAGCTGAGGGACAGCGCCCAGGCCCAGAGTTCAGGCCCCATGACCAGACCCAAAAAAAAAAAAAAAAAAAGAAAGAAAGCAGCTGGATAGATAAGGGAATTGTCCACAACATAAATGCTTCTGAGAAAACAAAGCCTTGACTTCTGTTTGAATCACAACTATTTTCCCTCCAGATTTCTGTATCTAGCTCTAGTTGTTAAGAAACCATGGGACAAGACCAGACCACAGAAAGCGAAGTCCCACCTGAATGCTGAGAAGAACTCAGGAAAACTGACCAACCCAGAAAATAACTCTATTTTCGCCTGCTCTTCTGAAGCAGCGGAACTTTGGAGCTCTGTGATATTACTGAAGCTCCTCTCATCCACTATGTCCTGCTGTGCTCTTCACTCCATTCATTCCAAACAGCGGCCTAGCTGATGCCAGAATTATATTTTTTGCTGGTCCTGGGGCTTGAACTCAGGGCCTGGGTTCTGTCTTTGAGCTTCTTTTGCTTAAGGCTAGCACTCTTACCACTTGAGCCACAGCTCCACTTCAGGCTTTTTCTGTGATTAATTGGAGATAAGAGTCTCAAGGACTTTCTTGTCCAGGCTGGTTTGAACCAGATCTCAGCCTCCTGAGTAGCTAGGATTACAGGAATGAGCCACTAAAGCCTGACTATTTTTGTTTCCTTTTTTAAATTTATTTTTTTAACATTTTATTGTCTTTACTTAGTTATACAAAGGAGTTGCCATTTTACAAAGCAGTAGATGAATACATAAAATGCACCTTTATCAATGGCTCCTCTTTCATCATTCTCACCTATCCCTCCCCATCCACCACTTCCTTCACTTTTCTTAATTTTGTACATATACATTAATTCTTCATTGCAGGGGGCTAAATAAATTCCTGAACACAGATCATACTCATGGAGTAACAGCAATGCTTCTCTTGCGGCAAAACCAGTAGAGGAGCAGTGAAGCAACTATCTGAAATTCAGTCACATACCCAAACAAGGATGCAAACATATTACTGAAACCTTTCAAAAAGCAGGCTGCCAGCAGGCCACAGGAGAATCTGTGTGCTCTAACTCCCAAGGCAGGATCAAAACCCAAGGGCCAATAGGCCAGAACTACCTTCCGGCTCAAAATGAATGGATTGGCACTTAGCATTTATAAAAAGGGGGAAGATTATGGGGTTTTGTTGTGTGACAATCTGTACTCCTAAGATTATAAAACTATTAACTTAAAAACTGAAAACAAAGAAGGTAATGTAGTAGAATACTGACAGAAATGAAGAGCTGTGGTGGATAGCAAGGAGAATGCGCTCCTGAACCTGTCATCAGTTGTTTTACCCAGAACTCTTCCCCACTGGGGCTAGAGCAGGGGTCACTGCACTTACGCAGCATGCTTCTGGTGCAGAGGTGTCTTGTCCCGGTGCAGGGGCGTGGTGACCACCACCTTCTGGCTGCACACTGGAGTGGACGTTAGTGAGGGGCTCTCCAGTTCTAAGGTGTCCTGTTTGTTCCAGAAGTTCAGAAACTGCCAGACAAAGAGGCAACATGAGACAAAGAAGCCTATGTAAGGGTAGAAGAGACCCTTAAGAGTCCCTCTCAATACATTTGTTCTGTGAGGCTGAGGTCTCTCCTGACGTGTGGGGTACGAACAAACAGCTAGAGAGATGGACAGCAGCCCACCAAGTACGGTTGTCAATTCTAGCACTTAGCTTTTGCTTCAGGGTGGTTAAGACAAAAAAAAACAAAAACCTGAGAGACAGCTCTTGATCAAATGAAAAACAAAAGCACCTTTTAACTGACTTATGGAAACGTAAGACACAGTAACACAGTAGTGCTCTGAAGGCGAGGTACCCAAGGGGTCAGGCTTACTGCCTCAGGCCTATCACGCAAGGCAGGCCTCTGAGATGGGTCAGCCAACCCCACCTGCCATTCAGAACCAAAGAGAGCAGCTGAGAGCTGATTTCCTTCTTTAACCAACAGCCCAGAACCTGAAATGCCCTTCTCAGTTTCAGGCACTGAAGTACTAATCCCCATCAATCTCAGGGTGGAGGTGTGGAAAAATTTAAGAGGTAGACATTTGGAAATGAAATCATTAGGGTGGGCCCAAACTCTGTAACTAAAGTCCTTATGAGATTATACCAGGAAGTACTTACAAAAGGTAAGAGATTAGGACAAAGTTACTTAAAGAATGACCAAGTGAAGCCTCAGGAAAGAGGCTTCTGAGGAACTCCAGGCTACTAACAACTTGATCTCAGGGCTTCTAATCTCTAGAGCTGTGAGAATACATTCCTGTTGCCCATGTCACCTAGACCTTGGTACCAGTGTGGTGGCCCTAGCAAACTGACAGTCTTCTCAGATAGCCCACGAGCTTATATTCCACGCAGATACCTTCATCTTCAACATGCCAGCTTGAGGCTTGTTTTCTGCCCTAGCCAGGAGAAACACAGGAAAAACAGACCCAACAAGAACCAAAGCCTCCACGTGGACACGGGAGCAGCAAGACCTGGCTGCAGCAATCTTCACACAGACTCAGGGCAGTACGTGACCCTAAATTATCCATATTTCAAAGATGTGCCCCACCCCCATCCACTCTGACAAACTTCACTCCCCTACTCAGTATTCCTAATTCCCCTATCTTTGCCCAAGGCAAAAGAGAGCCTGCTCCACGTAGCTCTCCAGAAAGATTGAGCTCCTCCTGGGTCCTGCCTAGCTCTTACACGTGTACTACAGAGCTCTAGCGTTGTACCCAGAGCTCAGGAAGCTATGGAGGATGCAGGGCCTGCTTTCCCTATAGCTTTCTGCACTCCATTCTGGCCAGTTATCAGAAGCCTTCTCCAAGCACTGGCCACTGCCTCAAGGGCAGGCAAGGCTGTCCCAACTCCATCTATAAACAAGTGGTTGTGGAAAGAATTCTCTCAGAAAAATGTAGCCAAGCCTTCTGCCCCCTTCACTGTCCAGGGACCATTTGCTCAGTGCAAGTTGCTTTTCTCTCCCCTACTTGAGTCCCAGCTAGTAGCAAGCACAGTATCATAACCCTCTCCCCTCACACCATCTATCACACTTATCTGAGCCTTCTTACTCTGCTGTCACAGTGTAAGTTAAAGGAGGCAGGAACAGGCCTATAGCACATACTCAATGAAGGGTGGCTGAACAGTATGTGCTGGGCACTAGGTGTCTAAATAGAACCCAATGAACAGTGGGAGGCTCACATACCTGGGAGGGTGAGAAGGGCAGGGTCTTGACAGGCGTGCTCTTGGGGGTGATACTGTTACAGGAGTCCAGGAAGGACAGGCTGGCACTGTTCTCTGTGACCGGAGACAGGGCCACACGTCGCTTCTTCTGCCGCTTGAGCACTGAGGGTGGCGTGCCGATGCCCAAGCCCCCAACCTCAGTGTTGGGGGAGATGGGGATCAGCTCACCACGACTGCTACGGCTTAAGTCAGAGATGGTGTGGCCATCGAGGCGGTACTCAGTCACACTGGGCCCTGGTGTGGTGGGCTGCCGAACTGGCAGTACCTGCTGCTGCTGTGACGTTTCGGGCTGCTCCAGGCTGCTGTTAATGCTGCCCTCTGCAGAGGGCTCTTCAGGAAGGTCAAATTTACTCAAATCACACCAAGCATCAGGGTCCTACCCAGAGAAGGAAGTTAGAAATCACTGTTTCAAAGTTCAGGCTCAAACACTGAAGGAAATATACAAGTGTCAAACATGGTCCCCCCACCCAGGGTAAATCACTTAGCAACTCTCTCAGTTTTTGGGCCTATCCATCCATGCTTCTAATAGATCAAGATACAGCACAGAGGAAGAAATGGTGCTTGCCCATGTGGTGCCTCCTCCAGGGGACACTTTATAAGCTGTTTCTCATTCTAACACCAGTCTTGCTTGGGCAGTATGGCTTTTCCAGCTTCCTTTTTTTTTTTTTTTTGGTCATGGAGCTTGAACTCTAAGCCTAGGTGCTGTCCCTGAGCTCTTCAGCTCAAAGCTAGCACTCTACCACTTGAGCCACAGTGCCACTTCCGGCTTTTTCTGTTTATGTGGTACTAAGGAATCGAACCCAGGGCCTCATGCATGAGAGGCAAGCACTCTACTGCTGAGCCACCTTCCCAGCCCTTTTCCAGCTTCTTAACCAAGGAACCTCCACTGAGCTTCTAAGAACAAACCTGAGAGTCATTCAGCTTTATGCAGAAAATCACAGTACAAGCCCAAAGGCTGCTGAAAACAGAGATCCACTTTGGTCTTGGAAGTGTGGCCCTGGGTGGATTCTACTGGTGACACTGGTCCTCAGGACTTGCCAGACCCTGGAGCAGTGCACAGTTAAGGCCTCCCCGGAGCTGGCCACAGCTCACATCTTGTAAAGATTGCCTAGAGCAGGGACTGGGAAGATGGCTCAGTGGTAGAGTGCTTGTCTTGCATGTATGAGGCCCTGGGTTCAATTCCTCAGCACCACATAAGCAGAAAAAAGCCAGAAGTAGCACTGTGGCTTAAGTGGTAGAGTGCTAGCCTTGAGCTGAAAAGCTGAAAGACAGCACCTAGGCCCAGAGTTCAGGCCCCATGACCGATAAAAAAAAAAAAAAAAAATTGCCTGGAGCAGATGCCATGGGAGAGAAAGCAAGTTTCTGCTAATGAAGCAACCACCTTCAGTGGTAGGGATGGAAGGTAATTATGAAAAGAGCCTGAGCTCTGGGCCAGACAGGGAGGTCTGACTCCAAGCTAGTGCAGCTAGGAGCTGGATGTCATTTACACTAAGGGGGGTAGCTCCATGGAATGCCCATGACAAAGGGGCACAATCTATCCTGTGTGCAATGGTCAGTACACAGGCTACTCACCCTAAGTAGCAAAACACTTGTCACTGTAGAACCAGTCACAACCGGTCACTTCCTGGGTCCCTCTCCAGGGAAATCTAACCATGTGGCATCACATACTGCATGCAGTGCTATTACAGCTTGTCACCCTTGACAACAGTGCAGTGCCCTCATATACCAGGCTGTCCACCTCATCCTGTGCTGTACTCATGGATCAGAGCTGTTCTGCACACCCCTGCTGCTCACACTGGGAACTTCTGAGGGCCAACTACATGCAGTGGGCCCTGCTCAGGACCAGGTAACACACTGGTCAGTAAACAGAAGTGGATGACAGCAATAACAAAAAGATGCAGGTCCACAAGTACTCCATGTTGGGGAGGGAACAAAGGCTTCGGTGCTCATTATGAAGTGCTGTAACCAACATACCGACTCGATCAAGTCCAGGGCTTCAGAGAGACTAGAACCCACAGCAGGGATGAGAAGGTTTGCTGCCTCCACCACCCACTTGTATGGCAGGCTTGTTTCTGTGGAGGAATCTTCCTGGTCTTCAGACTTGGGGAACGTTTCCAAGGGCTCCGGTGTGTTTGCTCCATCCAGCTCTGCAGGAACAGACTCCTGCTTCAAACTAGGGGCAGTGGTGGCAGCCTCCTCCTCGCTGACCTCCTCTTCCTTGATCTCAATGGGCTCTGAGGGCCAGCTGGTCACAAGACTTCCCTGCTAACACACAAGGACACTGTGTGTACATTTTTGCTGAATTATAGGCTAGGCAATCATTTCCAGGTAAAAAACATACCTTAATCATTGTTAAAAGTAAGGACAGTCAGACAAACCCAAACTGAGAGGTGATTCTATAAAATCATCATGACCCACCCTACAAAAAATGTAACTTTCAAGAGATAAAATAACACAATAGGTTAATACATGATTCAAGTGGTAGAGTGCTGGTGAGCAAGAAAGCTGAGCAACAGTTCCAGACCCTGATCTCAACCTCTGATCTTTTCCTCCCTTTCTTCCTTTGCTCCCTCCACCCCACATCCATACCCATACCCATACCCACACAGGGTACCAGCATGGAAATGGCAATGGATTTCAGCAGCTTTCAAATAGGGGAGCTTAGGGCTGGGAAGGTGGCTCAGTGGTAGAGTGCTTGCCTTGCATGCATGAGGCCCTGGGTTCTATTCCTCAGCACCACATAAGCAGAAAAAAAAAACAAAAAACTGGAAGTCGCGCTGTGGCTCAAGTGGTAGATTGCTAGCCTTGAGCTGAAGAGTGCCCAGGCCCAGAGTTCAGGCCCACAACCGGACCCAAAAACAAAACAAAACAATCAAATACAGGAGCTTGATCCTTGATAGATCATGAGGAAAAAATGGAGCATTAAACAAGATGATCTGTTTCTCAGAATCACTGTTCAAGTCCCTGAATTGGACATAGCTGTACCATAGTGCTATAGGTATATAAATGAAATGCCCTTATTCTTAGGAAATCCATGCTAAAAGAACTCAACAAGTAAAAATGTAGTAATATACTCTAATAGTTTAAGACATAAAAAAACCTCTGAGCTAATGTTAAAAACTAGAAAGTCAGCCAGGTGTCAATTTCACCATGCTTTGAATATTTCATTTGTCCACACAGCATGACTCAACCACTCCACAGCCATAAAATTAACCACACAACAGGCTAATCTGAGAAGAATCTGACATTCATTACAGCACTGATGGAATTGGTAACAAGTGACAATAGGAAAATGGTTAAAAAAGATACAAGTTCAAAAAAGGAGGAAAGATCTGAGAGGCAGAAAAAAGGGACTATAACCCATAACCCATTTTAAATTAAGAACCTTAGTAATAAATTTTGGCAAATACATCCTATTGTTTTCTTTATTTTAAAACGATACCCAAGGGCTGGGAAGGTGGCTCAGTGGTAAAGCGCTTGCCTTGCATGCCTGAGGCCCTGGGTTCGATTCCTCAGCACCACATAAGCAAAAAGAAAAAAGCCGGAAGTGGCACTGTAGCTCAAGTGG